AGCTTTTTATAGTAGCAATACAAAGTACTCGATATACAAATTGACGAAGTGAGTATGTGAGTTCCGAATGCTACGTCTTGTGTAACAAATTTTAATCTTCTCTTAATGAAACGCTAGCCTATGAGGCTTGTTCGCGAAAAAAAAAGTGAGTATGTGAGTTCCGTCTACTCAAATATACCCATCCAAGAGCAATCACATGCCAAATTGTGGCACACTATGGCTACTTGCATTGTGCAGTTGTGCTAACACGTCAGATTGCTGGAGAAGAAATAGGATCAGACCACCAGGGTCCTGAGTCAAGGTTCAGGGCTGGGGCCTGGGGCAACAATCTCCCTCGAACAGTCCAACCTAGCCTGATGTGGAATATAGGCGGCGGTGGCTCTCGGGGAGTATGTGGGCATGCTTGATATATTTAGGCTCTGTTTGGATCTCCTGATATAAAGTTTAGTCTAGGGTTAAAGATTAGTCCTTGAAATGAAAAGGCTAAAGTTTAGCTCATTGGTCTGTTTGGATATATGACTAAAAGGTGGCTAAAAGGTGAAAGAGAGAGGAGAGAGAAAAAGAGTAAAGTCTTATGTTAGCACTTTTAGTCCCTCTTGAGCCGACCTTGCAAGGACTAATGGGCTAATAGAGGGCTAAAGATTAGCCTTTCCTTTTAGCCCTCGAGTTTGAATCCCCAAGGGCTAAAAGTGGATGGCTAATCTTTAGCCCCTTGAATCCAAACAACACCTAATTAGGAAGCTGCTATTTTATAGGCATCTAAAATTTGGTATTTTTCAGGCAACGCTCTCAGCCATCTGATCCAGTCATCCAGATCGAGCGACACTCCTCTTTCTTCTTCCTCAGTCCGTTCTTCCTTCTCGCTCTGCTCGCCTGACCCCACCGCCACCACCCACCGCTCCGCCGCGGCACGCAGTAGGGTCTCGTCGGAGCTTCGCGGCCCTCCCTCCCTCCCGCCGCTGCTTTCTTCTCCAACTCCGACGAGAACGGCCGCGATGCCCCTGCTCCGACCTGGCCCGGCCACGTCCATCACTGCCAGGGCCCCTAAAACGCCCTCGAGCCATCCCCACCACCTAGCCTTCCTTCCTCCCCCCAAAACCTTTCCTTCTAAGCCCACCGGAGTTGGGGAAGATGAGAGAGAGAGAGAGAGAGAGAGAGAGAGAGAGAAGCTCACCGGAACCCTAACTCGCAGATCCAGGAGGAGGAGGAGGAACCCGCCTACCTCGTCGGTGCCGCCGCCACCGAAGGGGAGAGAGGGAGGAGCCACGTGGGGAGGATCCGTGAGCGCGCCTGGCGTGTCGGGGAGGAGCCGCGTTGGGCACATGGAGAGGAGCCGCCGCCGAAGGGGAGAGAGGAAGGAGCCGTGTCGGGACGCGTGGGGAGCGTGCGCGTGCGGGGCACGGGGGTCGTCGCCGGTGCGCCATCCTCAATCTCTGGCTACTGAGATGTACGAAATGTGATTTAATTACTAATGGTTTGTTTGCATTTGTTTCTAGATACTTGATGGCCGGACGACGATTTGTCGTACACCTGCTATCTCCAATGGTATTTTACTATTTTTCAGGTTAGTATAGGAGCAGAAATGAAGTGCTCAATATATACCCATTGAAGCGAGCTAGTGTGGATATGTGATCCGTCTATATAGTCAATTTACCCACTGAAGTACATGCAAAATGAGTTACACATATTGCTACTTGCTATTTTACAGAAATGGAAGTATATATATCATATATGCAAATTTTAACCCGCAGTCTCGACGCACGCTCGTGCCACACATGTGACACCTCCCGTAAGCAGCTACAGAGATGCTCTTTGGGGTATATGTATCACTCTCCCTCCAACCTTGCTAGCATCATGCATCACCACTTCCACTAAAATGACGGGTAGACGCAGGACTGCGCGGCAGCAATGTGTAGATGGGGTGCTAGTGAGGAAGACCATTGATAAGTTAGCTATAGCTGGGCACAGTGTGTGACCTTTTGATCAACCGATGACCATACATCTACGGCTCTACCCTTTGCAGCATGATCTGCATGTTAAGTCCGTACTCTTCATAGAAGTTATATACTGGTTATTACCATTTGCAGTGTGATACCGCACGGACTTATATATACTGGTTATTACCATTTACCTTTTGTTACGCTTTTCAGGAATAGATATGCAGAGTTTATCTTTTCTACTTTAGGGAAAAGAAAACGAAAAGATAGTTCGTCTACTATTATTCCAAACGTAACATCTCGATCGTATGGAGGCTTTGTCATAGTTCGGTAACGACGCAAACAACACGAACCAATCCAAACACTACCTACGCTCTTCCATGTAAGGTGAGTTTAATCTCGAAATTCAAACAATACTGTCATTTTTTATGAAAATTTTTGCATCTGTCCCAGAATAATAAACATATTTTGTACAGGAGCAATCGAATTTTACAATCTTTGACTAACAAGCAGTCAAATTATATATAAGTTTCACATAAAACTTACATCAATCGAGATTTAAATTCTAATGTAGCAGAACAGATGATCCAGCAAATAAATGTTCTATTACAATGCACAAGCATGTATGTTAGTAACGCTCTGGCAAGGCTTGTGCTTTTCCAAAAAAAAATGGTGAAGCGAGAAATGCCCACATTTTTTGTGGCCTCTGCTTTTAAGTGAAAATGGCTTTGACTTCACCGTTTTTTACTTGGTTTTGGTTTCATAAGTTGCGTGTGCATGTTTGGGAGGGCTTTTGATTGAGGGCATGTTCCGTAGGGCTTCTTTTGACTCTGGCCGCTTCGGAGGAGCCAAAATCAGTGAAGCCAGCTTTCTAGCTTCATTGACTCCTAGTTCATGTCTAGAAGAGAGAGAAAAACAGGTCCTTATAGAATAATAAAGAGTATTTTCTAGACGACAAAACTGTTTGAGAGGAGGAGTCTTCCCAAACAGGACGTACTGCTTTGTTCACTTCCAAAATTTACCAAGCCAAAGATTTAGCAAACCATGATTTTGGCTAGTATTTGGTTTGATACCAAAACTTGTCAATCTCTCACATTTGGCTTGCAAAATCTATGATAAAATTTTTGCCCAACTTTTAGTTGCCAAATTTTTGGCAAGACAAATTTTGGTTGCAAATCAAGCAAGTAATGTCGGCTTTGAAGCTTCAACAAAAAAAAACACCAGAAATTGTCTAATTTGTAAAACAAGCCATTAGAGCGTGTTGGAGTAATATAATGCATATTTGGGCCTGCCGACGTGGGCTTTGGGCTTGCAGCCTTTACATTCTCAAAACAATCTCCTGGTGCACCAAACAATGCAGAGAGCCAGCGACGCACCAGAGCCACATGCATCCAGTATTACTGCCCCTGACATAGCAACTCCTTTTGTAAAAGTGGCCCCATAAATATTTCCTCTATCTAAAAAATAATATATTTATAGTTTTACAGAAAGTTGATTCATCATAATTTTGATTAAATCTAAAAAATCTGATATTTATGACATCAAATAATAATAATTTGATTCGTTATGATTTTTCATAATATATCTATATTTGGAATTATACAGCATGTTCGTTTCGGCTTATTCGCTCGTATCTGGTTTATAATCCACGGTTTGAACAGTGTTTTTCTCTCACACCAAACTAGCCAGCAGTACTTTCAGCCATGGCTTATAAGCCAATTCAGCCGAAACGAACGGGCTGATAAATGTTAATCTTAATAAAATGCTTTGATTCGGTTCTAGATTTTCTTTTTGAACGGAGGTAGTTTGTAGAATGTAGCTACCTCCCAGGTCCAGCTGGACGAAGGAACAATTTCGGCATTGCAGTCTGATTAGGAAGCTTATTACAGGTCAGTCCAGAAAACATTCCGCAACTGGACAATCTATGCCAAATGATTGTTTGCACCTTTTTCAGTCCCTGTCTCCCTCAGTGATCTGTACCTCTAGTTTCTTCAGGAAAGGTCGAGACTAATCTGCAACTCACTATTTTTCTTTTTATCTCCCCTTTAGAAAGCGAGGAATCATGCACTCAGAGTACTATATGTTCGTCCTAAAAACATTAGAATGTATGTATTGTAAAAGGTATAGTCAGACGTACTCCCTCGGAATAAACTGCTGTTAAATTCTGTTGAGAAAGAGAATGAATATTTGTGGGGTCCAACTCCAACATAGGACTAGCCAGCTGACCGTTGGCACGTTTCTGGCTACCATCTCACCAACTGTATGTGTGTGATTTTTTTTAGATTGGTTTATTTTACTCATCTTATCTTATGATACCAATACCATGTAACAACTTCATCCTTCACCATCTGAAGAAATATTTGTTGTTGGTGAGGCTGAATGATTTGGTAACAACATCTGCATACATTTCGGATACGGAGAGGAGCCAATCACAAACATGGTCAAGCACTCAAACTTGTACAGATACCTACACCGTCCTTCTCAAGTAGACGTAAGAGTATCTCGAGAGCTTTTCTAAATTTCACTCTCTAAATTATCATTTGGAGAGTAATTAGCATAAAAATCGTTTTTATATCTTTTCATTCTTCAACAGTTTTTTTATATCTCATGCACACTCTAGAGAACCATTCTCGTATTCTATTTTTGGCATGCGAAAAATCCGGAATAGAAGATGGCTATATTTGATGATCATTTAGAGAAGTTGTTGGAGGATAATTTTTTAAAAAAATTTATTTCTAGCATTTAGGAATGATACGGACGGTCGCTCTAAGAAGGAAAAACAAAAACGACCTTGTCCAGTTGTCCAGTTGTCCTCCCAACACACGCCATTTTTTTCTCCTCGAGTGATCTAGCCAGGCATCCAACACTCGCCAGGTGCTTCAAATAGTCGCCCCGGCCCCCCGCCCCCGGAGAGGCAGGCACACGCAAGTACGCAACCAGTCCCCTTCGCCGTTCGTTCATCCCTCCGATCCGCAAGAGGATTAGGAATTTAGGATCGGGGATCGGCCGGCGGAGCCCGATCGACGACCTGCTCGGCCCACCCGCCCGGCGATCGATCGATCGATGGCGCTCGGCGAGGGCGGGGATCACGGCGCCGCCACCCTGCCCCTCATCGCGGACCAGGCGAAACATGGCGGCGGCGGCGGCATCGTCCGAAGCGGTGAGCCCCCCTCTCCCCTCCTCTATGTTGGTATCCGTGTCCGCCCGCCATTGGAGGCGGATCAGACGTATCCCGCGTCGCGAACGGGCTGACGGAACCGGCGGTTTGTGTACGGGGTGCATGCAGGGAGCATGTGGACGGCGGCGGCGCACGTGATCACGGCGGTGATCGGGTCCGGCGTGCTGTCGCTAGCGTGGAGCATCGCGCAGCTGGGGTGGGTGGCCGGCCCGGCCGCCATGCTCGTCTTTGCGGCCGTGACGGCGCTCCAGTCCACGCTCTTCGCCGATTGCTACCGGTCGCCGGACCCCGAGCACGGCCCGCACCGCAACCGCACCTACGCCAAAGCCGTCGACCGCAACCTTGGTACGTGTCGTGTCGTGTCCCCCCCTTTTTTTCTCTGTTTCTGTTTAGATAGAAAGACAGAGTCAGTCTACTGCTCAAGTTCGTTAAAAATGGTCGTCTGTCTACTATACTTTGTGTGTCTTCTCATACACAGCATTATACTCCGTATACACACACAGCATTAGAGACGCAGTAAACAGGTAGGCACTGTTTGCGTTAGACGTGACTGATTGAATCTGTACCAAATCCCCTTGACAACCCACTCTAATGAGCTGGTGGAATAAGTTAAACCTGAAAGCCTCCAACGTTGTAGGAGTGCTATTAATGTTCCTGAGGCTGTTTTTTTTTTATATAAAACAGGAGGGGTTTTAGCCCCTACTGAATTCCTGAGGCTGTTGGCTGCCGAGCATAGGAAATCGCCAAGCCAGACTGGGAAATTTGCTTGCTCGTATGAGGAAACTCGCATTCGCCTGTGGGAAAGGGGGAGCTAGCTGCTCTCAGCCACAGGTCGTGACGGCGACACCCGCAGCAGACGGAAACGGGCACGGGAACGCGGGAAGGGTCGCGAACCCCGTGGCGACAACTGTACGACTCGACCAAACTGGCAAACTCGTGTGGCTGGCAGTGTGTCCGTGGACGAGTTGGCGTTCGGAGCCCGCGAAAGCGCAGGCGACACCTGGCTCTGGCTGAGGTGCGGGCTCTGGCGAGTAGTCTGTTCGAGTCCGACACGACTGGACGGCGACGTCAGCGGTGCTTTCTTTCGCCGATTGGAAGGGAAGCCTTTGTTTTTTTTAGGGTGGGAGGGAATATTAGGATTTATACTAGTTTAACAGTTCATATATCATGTGCACATAGTGTGTAAATAGTAAGTCCGGTGAGATTAATAGGTGCGCAATGTTCTGTCTAAATGTCGATGAATAGAACTCCAGTGAGTTTAATAGGTGCACAGCGTGTACACCTACGAAATGCAATCAATTTACAGCAAATGACGTTTTAAGCGGGGACAGTTCACCACACGATTGGTAAAATATTTTTGGTCGCTAGTATAAAAAAAAAGGACCGCTGCTGTATTGGCAACGATCCATCCCTGTCAACTTAGCACTAGTGACCTGTAACAGAGACTAGAGAGGCTTAGGTGTACCAATTATGAAAGCGCTTTGACGCAGACACATGCATCTCGACTCCTCTCTTCTGTTTCACAATCAGGTTACCTGTTTTTTTTCCCCCCTCTCTTTCTATTTTTCTATTTTTGAGGAGGTGCATCATTGCCTGTACTGTCGTTGTTCAGTACAGTAGTACATCCTCTGCGATTTCCTAACTAATCCTAACAACGAAACGCCCCTGACAGGTAGCAGCAGCTCGTGGATGTGCATGCTGCTGCAGCACACGGCCCTGTTCGGCTACGGCATCGCCTACACCATCACGGCCTCCATCAGCTGCAGGTACGCCGCTTGCATCCTCTTCTACCAAGACATGTTTGCACGTGTTTTGCTATTGTCCTAAGACTCGAGACCACCACGTCGAGCGCGTGATTCTGTGGTGGGGCCGTAACGTTGCCGGACCGCCGCACGTGGCCAGGCTGGGCCGACGATGCGACAACGCCTGCGCGATTAGCGAGCAGCGAGTAGCGGCGCGGGCGGGTGGGCTGTATTTCATCGACGCACCAGACCCCGAACGTTCCGGCGCAATGGGCCGTTCCCACCATGGGCCAAAAGCTGGCGTGCCCTAACCGGGAGTCCGGGACCTTGGGTTTGATTTTTCCCTTTCTTTTTTTTTAGCAAACATACCTGCCCAGTAACATGTCAAATCAAATCTAAGTTAAGCATCATCTTTCCCGCCTCCTTTAGAGGAAAGCTAATGTGGCACATTTTCGTCCATGATGGTTCTAAATTCTAACGAGGAATCTTATATGTTTCCCACCTATATATCTCCTCCATCTTTTTTGACCGAATCAGGGAATCCCCAAACTTTTTTTTTTTTTTTTTTGCTTTTCAATTAAATGAAAGGATACAAGCTAGCATTTACAACAGCTAAGAAAGAAAAGAAATACAAGGCAGCCAGGCCCAAAGAAAAAGAGGAGAATACTCTCTACTCTCCCGTTAACTATTCCATTACTATATTCCCTATATATCCATGAATCCATCCAACCATCGAGCTCGAGCTCTTCCACTTTGCAATCCGTCTCCATCATCGTGGGCTGCCCAAGCAGCATCGTTGCGGTTGCGGTATCTACAGAGAGTACGTCTAGAGACTGAACTCCAAAGATGTTGGTACGCTTGAGTGAATTGAGAAGGCCATTGCCTCGCTGGTGCCGCTGCCTGTCGATGCCAATGCCCATGTAGCAGCGTGCATTATCATTACCATGCTATGCTACAGAAGTAGAGAGGAAAAACACAGCACGACTTGTCTCCGCATTGTCATGGTCTGTTTGATGGGTAGTGAGCTATGGAATGTGTCACGGAGAGTAGTTCTCTTGAACTACGCGCGAGAGGACTAGCAAGTCAAAAAGGCAGCTCGAAGAGCGCGACATGGAATTCTTTTTTCACCCTCAACAATTCTAGTAGTGTTCAATAAGCATCTCACTGCTGGGCTGGCTGAATTTTCAGTCCGCAGGGGGCCGTGCTGATGAACCCACGCACCATTGCAATTCAATCCACTATGGAGCTTAGTCTGTAGCATCAAGAGGGCAATACGGATTTGGCTCGATCCCGGTCCTCGTGATAAAAGAAAGGAATCAAAATGGTCCAGAATATCCACAAAAAAGGGTGACAAAAACCTCCACGACAGCAACTCTTCTTCGATACCGTCGGGCAATGGCAACCGTACTCGTCAAAAAAGGAGAGAGGTGCTTCGGTCACTGGTTTCAAAATCGATCAAATTGTTTTCGAAACTTTTGCTTTGTTGTTAGCCCCACTGCTTTAATATCTGGTCTATGTTATCATAGTATATTTATAGCATTATTACTCGATGTTATACCTAAGAATAGTTTTATAACATCTGAAATTTACTACGCACGCGCATTCCTTCCAGCTCCAGCTCTAGTACTAGCGGAGCCAGGAGTGCTAGGTTCACATGGCTCTCTTCTCCAACAGGCAAAATCATATCATAGCCGTTTTATCCTACAGTTCTGCACAGCTTTGAACAAGCTGATTGAAAGAAGGCCCATCAGAGGGGCCCTAATAATCAACGTGCAAACAAGTCGTTTTTGTTCGTCCAGAACCTATTTAAGCCTACCAGAATAGCTAATGTTGGGCGCTATTATTGTCACTTTCGTAGTGGTCGTACGGAGCAGGTTTGCAAGTTTCCAATTCCGCAACTTTGGATGGAGAGATTCTAGCCGCCTACTACTGGACTAGTGGCAGGGCCGCAGGGTAAAATCTCCAAGGCGCCAATGATGGGGGATGGGTTGGGCCTGGGCGGCCACTGATTTGCCCGAGCGGAAGCCGCACCATGTCATGGCAAATAAAAGTCGGCAACGTGCCGTTTCTGCTCCTGTAGCAGCTATCCGCGCGCCATAGATCACGCAGCACGACTCCGTCGCGGCGTCGACCGGATCCCTGCCGGTGGAAGACATTGTGCCCCCACGTGCTGCAGAGGGCAGCAGGCTTATATCTCTCGCCAATGGCCAATGCCCAATGCCCAATGCCCACCAGTTCTTGCTCCGTGGCACCTTGAGCGAAATGAAATTTTTGTTGAGAAATCAGTAGGGATTTGGAGTTTTGGATTTTTCCTGTATGACTACGCATGCCACGGAACACGCATGGAATACAAATGTACAATTATTGAACTGCACTACCTCTTGCATCGCCAGACGCAAATGCAGTATCTCCCCGGTGAGGCGCTAGTACCATGCGGGGCCGTGGCCCAAAGCGGCGTGCATTTGTATTGGCTCGTAGCGCGCTTCGCGAGCAGATCGCGGACGTACTGCTTCCTTTCCACTTCCCAGCGCGGGGCCGATGCTGCCGGACTTTTCGCCCCCGAAAGGCTGCACGGCGCAGTGCACCGAATCGCTAGCTAGGGGCCTAGGGCTCAAGCAGTAATCAGGGCGGAGGACGTCACGTACTCTCTCCTGCTCGACACGAATATCAGTGCGAGTATTGTTGTCCACGGCAGCAGGGAGCATGTGTCCTTGGGTGCAAAATTTAACTTTACCACAGTACACTGCCGTTCGTCTATACGGCGATGCCGGTCTGATGACCGAGACAACCGCGGACCCTCCGTGTCCTCGTTCACCAGTCCTGTTCTGTTCTGCGTTATTATGCTCCCCCCGCCGCGGTCGTTGTTGTTGCGTGCTTAGCCATAGCCGTAGCAGCTCCTCCCGCACCGACTGATACTGCGCCGCAGCGCACCAACCGATCGCAGCCCGCGCTTGTCCATTCCCCGAGCAGAGCAGCCAAGCCAGCCTCTCGCCTCTCGGACAGACCAATCGGGCGGTGGAACGCCGCGCGCATGCAATGGCGGTGCACCACTCGCTCGAGGTGCTCGACGGCCGCTGCGACGACGACGGCCACCCGCGCCGGACTGGTAACGCCCTTAATCCGCGCACCCCGCCTTTGAAACATTGCCTCTCCTACGCGTCTCAACCGCAAGGTCGGCGTGTGCGTCGTGCAGGGACGGCGTGGACGTGCGCGGCGCACATCATCACGGCGGTGATCGGCTCCGGGGTGCTGTCCCTGGCCTGGAGCGTGGCGCAGCTGGGCTGGGTGGTCGGCCCGGCCTGCATGTTCTGCTTCGCGCTCGTCACCTACGTCTCGGCGGCGCTGCTCGCCGACTGCTACCGGCGCGGCGACCCCGAGGAGGGGCCACGGAACCGCTCCTACCTGGACACCGTCCGCGTCTACCTCGGTATACTATACCGCTACACCATAGTGTATACGTATACCTGTCGTCTCACTACTTGCTGGCTAGCTTCTATCAGAACGAAGCACAGCAGCAGCTACAACTACGTACGAGAGAGAGAGAAAAAACTTCTGAATTGAGCTTGCTTCGTTCGTGGTGTGGTTTTATGGCCTTGTTGATACTGTAAGTAAATAACCCGTCTACTGTGTGTGCTGCTCTGTGGCGACATGCTCAGGCAAGAAGCATACCTGGGCCTGCGGCTCGCTGCAGTTCGTGAGCCTGTACGGCTGCGGCGTCGCCTATATCATCACCACCGCCACTAGCATAAGGTAGCCGCCGCTGGCCGGTAACAAAATTTCCCCTTTTTTTTCTCTGTCTCAAAACTTGTACAACAGCTCAAGCTGTCTGCGATCGTGTGCCTCCTTCCCTGTCTTTTTAGCGAGCAGGGCCCTGACGATGGTTGCTTTTGTTGCCCTTCTGGCGGTTATTTTCGCTAAAGATTTTTGTTCTTAACTACTTGTGCTGTCTATGTGTGTCCTGTGTCGGGCTGCTCTGCTGTTGGATGTCCATGGCAGGGCGATTCTGAAGGCGAACTGCTACCACGAGCATGGGCACGACGCACACTGCGACTACGGTGGCAGCTACTACATGCTCGTCTTCGGCGCCGCCCAGCTCCTCCTCTCCTTCATACCGGACTTCCACGACATGGCGTGGCTCTCCGTCGTCGCCGCGGTCATGTCGTTCTCCTACGCCTTCATCGGCTTTGGCCTCGGCCTCGCAACAACCATTGGTACGTACTCTGATTCTTTCACTAGATAATCCAGTCTCTCCATCGTTTCAGCTGAACACTAGTACTACTCGTATACTACATGAGGAAAACCAATACTTTCGTTCATTCAATTATCGGAACATAACTCATATAGTACAGTTAATAAACATTTAGATTTAATGGCCGGGTTGTATATATGATATGAATGTTGGCACCAGATAACACGGAATTGTTTGTGTGTAGCTAACGGGACGATCAAAGGAAGCATAACAGGTGTTAAGATGAGGACGCCTATGCAGAAGGTTTGGCGCGTCTCGCAGGCCATCGGCGACATTGCCTTCGCGTACCCGTACTCCTTGATCCTCCTGGAAATACAGGTACATAACCGCACGGTCATTCTTTCAGAAACACTGCTAGCAAGCACCCATTAGTAGTATCATCGTATAAGCACAGTAACAAGTCACCTCCGGCAATTTAGGACACCCTAAAGTCACCACCGGCCGAGAACAAGACGATGAAGAGGGCATCGATGATCTCGATCCTTGTCACGACATTCTTCTACCTCTGCTGCGGCTGCTTCGGCTACGCCGCCTTCGGGAGCGACGCGCCGGGCAACCTCCTTACCGGCTTCGGCTTCTACGAGCCCTACTGGCTCATCGACTTCGCCAACGCGTGCATCATCCTCCACCTGCTGGGCGGGTACCAGGTAGTACACTGACACAGTGACAGCCCTAATAAACATCAGAAACACAAAATCACATGTGGACGCATGACTGACGGGCGCTGCCGCTTGTCTGAAATCGAACCTGCAGGTATACAGCCAGCCGATCTTCCAGTTCGCGGACAGGTTCTTCGCGGAGCGGTTCCCGGACAGCGGGTTCGTGAACGACTTCCACACCGTCCGGTTCGCGTGCCTGCCGGCGTGCCGGGTGAACCTGCTGCGCGTGTGCTTCCGGACGCTGTACGTGGCGTCCACGACGGCGGTGGCCGTGGCGTTCCCCTACTTCAACGAGGTGCTGGCGCTGCTGGGCGCGCTCAACTTCTGGCCGCTGGCCATCTACTTCCCCGTGGAGATGTACTTCATCCAGCGGAACGTGCCCCGGTGGTCCGCCCGCTGGGTCGTCCTGCAGACCTTCAGCGTCGTCTGCCTCCTCGTCAGCGCCTTCGCACTCGTCGGCTCCATCGAGGGGCTAATCACCCAGAAGCTAGGCTAGGCTAGTCCAGTCCAGTAGAACACCCTATGTGTTTTGGGTTGCTTTTCTTCTTCATGTATTGGTATAATGGAGAACGCAGCAGCAGTAAGCTAGAGCGAATGGGAGATTGTTTATCTCCAAGGGCCGGGTATGATGACGAACAGCAGCAGCATACACTAGTTACTAGTAGCAGGTCATCAGCAGGGTCAGGGAGTGGCAGCAGGATCTATTTATTTTCAGTGCCTTCCTCCTGCATTGGATTGTAACATGCACACAGTGTTACCATGGATACATGTCGTATTGATACCGCCGAGTTACCTCAGGAGTTCAGAAGAAAGTTTGGAGCCTGTGTCACTGAATGCCGCCTATGTAGTTTCAGTTTCAGGGTTCCTTCCTCTGCATGTCTCCTTTCAATTTCCTGGCCCTCAATTTGCACCTTGTAATTTTTTTTGACGTTGAACAGGAGGGGCGCACCCCTACTGGTATTTATTGAAAATAAGAGTACAATACGGAAAATAACAAAACAGGGTACAACATGGGATACAGAAGAGCCTAATTTGCACCTTGTAATTGATTCAGTTTGTGCCACCATCTGAGCATGCATAAGCCGTGGACCAGCACGACTGGTTTTTACTGGAACAGTGGGAAAGAACATGATTCAGTGGGTTCTTGGAGCTGCGTGTGCCCTTGGCCTCCGTGTTCTTTCTGACGCGGATGGGAGGATAAAATAGCAGCCTCATCTCAAGAGTGAAGAGTGTAATCAAAATGCACCGCATAGAAATACCAGAGCCTCCTGCTGTCCCTAGAGCAGTGTCTTTTTTTAACAAGTAGAGCAGTGTGTCTGACCTCACCTCTTTAGATTGGAGATTTATGAATACAAAAGGTACTCCCTCTGTTTCAAAATATCTGTCGCTTTCATTTCACGAGAAATTACTTTGACAAAATATATATTAAAAAATATTAATATTTATGATACATAATTGGTATCATTGGAAAGATCTTTGAATCTAGTTGTCGGGTATCGATATTAGGGATACCCAAAGCAAGAAAGTTAGCGCCCACGCTGACTTCCCCGGCTGGCTCGAGACGTATTAAAAGGTTTCGTCTGACCGCGGGCTCCGTCTCGCCCGACCCTTGGGTGCGGCCTCCGTCTCGCCCGACCCCAAGGACGCAGGTTTTGTCTCGCCCAAGGCTGCGGGCTCCGTCTTGCCCGACCTCGAGGGCACGGGCTCTGTCTTGCCCGACCTCGAGGCCGCGGGCTCCGTCTCGCACGACCCCTTGGATGCGGACTCTATCTCGCCCGACCCCAAGGACACGGTTTCTGTGTCGCCCAAGGTCGCGTGCTCCGTCTCGCCCGACCTCTAGGACGCGGGTTCTGTCTCGTCCGACGGGGACCCATACCGCCGCCAACCACTTCAGGTCCAAGCGTATGGGCCTGGGTCAAAACTCTGACGCTAGGGAAGAGGCTGGCACGCATCGTTGTAACCCGTGGCCATAATGAGTCATACCTGGGGATTCACATCAAGAACAGTGTCGGCCGTGCCAGTGCTGTTCTGCCTAATCCTCGTACGAACGCTGACAGGCGCGTCAGTTCACCACGACGTCCGTCGGGACGGAGTGGAACGCTATGTCCGGCAGATGACGCCTGCGCATGACGTCAGTGACGAACAGGGCCACGACATGGAGCCGTCCCTGTTGACATCTACAGGATCGACGGGACCCGCACGAAGGAGAAGGACCTGACAACCCTGAAAGCCTTCTTCTCTCCCGTTCTCCTTTTCCTCCTTTGTAACCCACGCTTTCCCTTCGCCTATAAAAGGAGAAGCAGGGCGCCCCACGGTGGGGGATCAGAACAACACAAGAGCACAACATGAGCACATGGCTGAGCAGCAAGCGAGCTCTCAGCACCCGTTCACTCCTTCCACCAGAGACTTGGGATTCTCTCCCTCTTTCGTCTGTTTGTAACCCCTACTGCAAACCAAGTGCCGGTAACACGAGCAGCAGCGAACTGGACGTAGGGACGTTCTGTCCGAACCAGTATAAACCCTTGTGTCCTTCGAGCACATCATTCGAGCCAGACGCGCAAATACAAATTTACTCGTCGGTGGTCCGAAAACACCGACAGTTGGCGCGCTAGGTAGGGGCTTTTTGCGCGTCTCGACGTCCACATCAGGCCTTGGATGGCTAGTCACGGTGTCAGCTGGGTCCCGGACGCGCACGTGCGTTTTGAAACCTGGACTTCATCGTTATGACGGAGGGAGAGCTGGTGCAAGTTCCCGCCGCCGTCCAGCCTCTCCACTTCATTGGCCTCGACACGATTGCCGAGGCATTTGAGGAGCTGTAGCTGCACGCACCGGAGGCCCACGCCTCCGGGCGCGACCAGCTCCTCGACTTTGATTACGGGAGGCTAGAGCGCCAGCTCGGCGCCTTCCTAGGACCCCGACCGTCCCGGGAGGACCTGCGCCGTCTCACCTTCTCGTTCGCTAATGTCATGACACAGCTTGCCGGAGGAGAGCCGCTCTCCCCGGAATACCTCATCCGGAGCGCCCTGACACCGCTCCCGTTCGGTCTGCGCAACGCCGCAGAGACCGTTGGCCACCTTGTGTCGCAGCGCACGCCCCCATCCCCTATGAACGACGAGTTCGTAGGAATGGCCGAATACGTCATGAAATCTTTCCACGACCTTCTCGCGGGAGAATCAGAGTCGCTCTCTGACTCTGACTCTAGCAGGGGGAGCCATCACCCCTCGTGAGAATGTTTTATGGCAGGTACCCTCGAGGAATACATCAAAAGCATCCACGAGGGAGGGGCTACCCCAACAGACGACCTCGACGACAAGGTCGAGGGGGATGTAGGGGCCCCACCTCACCTGCGGGTAGAGTAGCTGAGGGCACGGCACCAAGAGCTCAAAGAAGCATGACTCCAGCTCGAGCAGGAACGCGCGGAGCTCGAGCGAGAGATCAAGCGCCACGGAGACAGTGGGCGTGCGTGCGCCGTGGCCCGCGACGTGAATCGGAAGATCATCGAGGACGATGAAGCCCTCCCACACTTCACCCGGGCAAGCCAGAACATCGCTGTCGTGGCGGCCTTATTGCGGGGGCTTTCAGAGCCCGCGACTCCCGAGGATCGTTGGACCCATCGCGGAATTCACACGCTACTCGAGCGTGTGGCGGTGCAGTAGGCTGAGAGCTCGCTGTCCCGATGACACGAGCTCGACGCTAGCCAGCGCGCTCCCTCAGAGCAACACGACAGGGACGTGTTAGTCTACTAGGCTCAGCGAGGCAGCAAGTCACGCGCCGTGGCCCCGGTGCATGAGCGTCTCGGCCTCCACCGTGACACACGCAACACCCTCGATGCCTGCGGGCGCGCCCGCGGCAATGAGAGGGAGGAGGCTAGCCGTGTCTACCACCCTTGTCGTGGCAGACGCTACAATAGCGGCGAGGACTGAAGCCCGAGCCCTGACTTGCCGGTACCTCAGGTCTTTGGCCGACACATCCTCAACGCCATCTTCCCACCGCGGTACCGATCGCCGACCAACATCCCAAAATACTCCGGGGAAACAAACCCTGGACTGTGGCTCGAGGATTAGCGGCTTGCTTGACAAGCCGGTGGAGCAGATAGTAACAATTTCATTATCCGCAACCTTCTATTGTTCCTGGCCGATTCGGCGCAAACGTGGTTGGAACACCTTCCGCCCAACCAAATCTAAAGTTGGGCGGACCTAAAAGAGATCTTCGTGGGAAACTTCTAGGGCACATACGCGCGTCTTAGAACCTATGAGATCTCAAAAACTGCCGATATAAGTCCAGGGAAACTCTTCATAGGTACATCCGACGCTTCTCCCGGCAGTGCAACGAGTTGCCCGACGTCGTCGACGCTGATGTCATAGGAACTTTTCTGTCCGAGACCACCTGTAAGTCCTTGGTTCACAAGCTAGGATGTAAGGGCCCGCGAACCACCAAGGAGCTCCTCGACAACGCCACCAACCATGCCTCGGGCGAGGAGGCGGTCGTGGTGATTTTCGACCGCCCCAAGGGCAAGGCAAGGAAGCCAGCGAAGGCGCCTTCAACCACCCCCAACAAGAAGAAGAACAAGTAGCGGTGCTCTGGAGCTTGAGGATGACCCCCAGCCGGACCACTAGCTGCATGCCATTCTTCATGGTCTATAGTTTCGAGGCTATCCTCTGAAAGGTCCTAATATGGCTAGAAGGGGGTGAATAGCCTATAAAAATCTACAAATTAACTAGAGCAATTTAATTAGTATAACAAATGGCGTAATGCAAACTTGCTATAGCTCTACAAGGGTTGCAAGCCACCTATCCAACAATACTAGTTGCTATGATCACTAATCACACAATTTGCTATGTTACTACTCACTAAGAGCTCTCACACTTGCTACACTAAAGAGCTCCACTAGATGAACTTGAAACAACAAAGCAAACTCTTAATTCTCATTACACTAAAGAGCTTGCTACAACTAGTTTACAAGAATGTAAATGAGTGAGTAGGGTGATTATACCGCAGTGTGGAGGAAATGAACCAATCACAAGATGAAGATTAAACCAATCACCAGGAGAATACAAATGGCAAGAGACAACCGATTTTCTCCCGAGGTTCACGTGCTTGCCAACACGCTAGTCCCCGTTGTGTCGACCAACACTTGATGGTTCGGCGGCTAAGAGGTGTTTCACAAACCTCGTCCACACGATTGGACACTGCAAGAACCTACCCACACGTGAGGTAACTCAATGACACGAGCAATTTACTAAAGTTACCTTTCGGCACTCCGCCGGGGAAGGTACAACTCCCCTCACAATCACCGGAGACGGCCACGAACAATCACCAACTCGTGCCGATCCTCCACCGCTACACGAAGTCGTCTAGGTGGTGGCAACCACCAAGAGTAACAAGCAAAACCCGCAGCAAAACACGAATACCAAGTGCCTCTAGATGCAATCACTCAAGTAATGCACTTGGATTCTCTCTCGATCTCACAATGATGATGGATCAATGATGGAGATG